AATTCCTTGTGTGTGTAAACATACTTGGTAATAAAGCTCTTCTGATTCTGATTCTGATTAACTAAGGTTAACTAATGAGGTCTTATTGTAAAGTGATACCTATTTGTCTTTATAGTTCTTTTGCACTTTAATCTGTGTAAAATTTTTTACTTTATACATTTTTCTGTATTGCTTTATTGCATTTAAATGTTCAGTTATTTTTGTTATAAGAAAAAAGTTATTAAACCTGTTATACTGTATTATGACAGCACTTGTTTTTAAACTAAATTTCAATATCGTGATAATACCGTATACCGTGATAAAAGCATCAGCAATTAATCGCAACATGAGAATTTGATACCGGCATATCCCTACTACAAATAGGTAACCTTCATAAAGAAAGTAAATACATTTAAAAAAGGTTTAAACATTAAAATAAAAGGAAAGGCATACAAGTTTGGAACAGCATGAGTTGTATTGTTTCTCTTTTCTAGATGTAATTACTGACTGCACGTGTGTTTGTGTTATCATTACAATGGGTTATGAGGAGCAACAGTCATGGGCAGTCTAACAGTAAATACAGTCAGCCAACACATACACAGTCATACTGTCTCACAGTCACACACACCAGTGTATTGGGCATCATTAATCCTGCCTAATCAAGCACAGCCCCCTATCGGGTGTTGAGAGGGGTTGAGTGAGAGGTGGGGGGAGTGGTTATGAGATCTAAGGGTGTGCCAGCTGGTGTAGCTGCCACTTACAGTGAGTCACAGGACCATCTGTCCAGTCGCTCTGCCCTGCCTCCATACACACACAAACACACACACACACCCCTAAAAGCCTAGTCACACCAAGATCGATGCAAAGAAGCTCTGCCAAAAATTCACATACCTGAACGAAAGGAAAATGTACAACTGCCATTCACATAAAACAAATCCACTGCCAGAATCTGATTGGTCAATACTGCAGTCCAGCTGTGCTAAAATTAAACAATATAAGAAATAAAGAAAAATTGTCATAGCTGCTACTGCGGTGCAGGTAATGGTTGGGGATATGGGCTTAATTGTTGTGAAAATTACGTCAACACCACTCACTTTTTCAGTGGCTTTGGTTCTTGATATATTTTTCTCCATTAATTTTTAACATTAGGATTTTTTTTTTTTTATCCTCAAAAATAGATATAATGGTTTTTATGAGGGAAGAACTGTGAATGCCAAAATAATGGTACAATATAAAAATACTGATTTGTAGAAATTTGTGATTTGTAAAAATAAAAAAATTGTAAAAATAAAAATCACAAAATATTCATAAATTAAATTAGCAGGGAGACTGACATGATTGCCGATCACAATGCTTCACTGGAGTCTTTTCAAGATTCATGGGTAGTGAACTGTGCTTCTTCACTAGGACAATGTCAATTAAATAGAGTTTTGGAGTTTTTTTTTTTTACCTCAGATCTTATGGTAGATCTGTCTCCAAAGTTTTCTATGGAATTGTTCAAAACCAATTCCTCTATGGAGAAAATTAATGGGATTGTTACTTCTAAAACTTGGCTTTTGCACTCCATAGACCTTAAGCCCTCATTGGGAATACAAGTATGACTGATCATTGCAAATAAAATCGAAGGATTTTCCTTCAAAGGCCATACAGAGAAAGAGGGGAAATACTGAGAAAATGATTGCAAATTTGTTCAACTTTCAGAACAGAATTCTGCAAAGCAATTGGGAAAAAAACAGAAACCATCTGACTGATATATAATACAGAAAATCATCAAGATGACTCATTTGAAAATCAACTTTGTCTACCTTTAGATGAACATCCTCCTTCCACCCCAATTTCCATCTTGGCTGCTTCCCATCCAAAAAGCAAGAGATGAGTTAACACAGTGGCTCTTGACTAATTAATAATGGATACAGCCAGAGGCAAATTAAAATTATAATTCTCCACTCCTTTCCAATTCTCTACACTCTTTTATTCATTCTATTTAAGATTCACTTTCAAAATTTTAGCTGTAATATTGTAATCTTCATAGTCGTATAAATGTAACATAGACATGGCATCGCAACACCGTTTATGTATTGCTACTACTGGCAGCGGCTACATGTGAGCTGAATTGATGATGACACAAAAAAGCCCATGGCTCATGACGAGAAACCAACCGCTATGACTCAAGTGCTACATAACTAATGTGGCCGCACAATTTAAACAATACCATTTCACCTCCAGCCTCGAAACAATTTCCTAATTCCAACAGGCTCGACGTGATTTGTGGTCGCACTCCCAAAATATTTTTTCTTTCACAAGGCTCGGCACAGACTTCCCTGCTAACTGCATTAGCAAGATATGCATTCGAAACGATCTGTCACCAGTTTTAGAACAAAAAGCTGGCTATGCTTAAAAATTCTTTTTTTTCCCAAACGCCAAATGTTGTTTTCTCTGTTCCATCTGCAAAGCAGCCACACGTCTTCCAAGAAACTCAGACTGCGTCCCTCTTTAGTGCGATTATAACTGTTTCCTTAAATGAATCCAATCTAACTCTCTCTCCTTCTCTCCATACAGATGTTTTTCCAGGTCTGACCATTTGGCTTTGCACATGAAGCGACATATCTAATGCCGAGGGAGATGGGAGAGAGAGAGTGAGAGAAAACGAGTGAGAACGAAGAGGAGAACAGGTGTGCACCGCCCAGACAGGAACATTTACAACAGACTTTGAGTGCACATGAGGGGTCTGGCCGCAAACATCACCAGGAGGAACATGCGAGGCAGCGTGGGCAAACGTAGTTGGATTCTAAATGTCTAAAAGCCTTTTCATCAGCGATTAGCCATGCCTTACCGAGTGCTAGCTTGGAGGTCAGACACTGCCAAACACCACCATTTTTTTCCATCATTCTCTTTGTGTACAGTAAATCAACCAATAGCATGGAATTGAAACTATACACTACATGTGTAAAACCGAAACGCACATGTCAATCATCACGTAACGTAACAGTTCTACTAGAGAATCATGTTCATTGTACATTCTGGAACTTCCTTTTTCTTTTTCCAAGGACACCTCATAATAACCAACCTGCAGCTATGTTGTATACAGCAAACAACCAAACACGGATTGCCTATACAACATTGCCTATACGTTCTGAGGAGTGACCAATGGAACAAACGGCCAAACGCAACGCCCGGCCCCAAAAGTAGGCTCTGCGTGGGGAAAAAAAATATGAAAAACAAAAAATACGGCGACGCTCAGGATGTGTGTTGACTTCTTGTACTCTTCGCTCAGGAGCGAACTCTTCTCTGCTCTTCACGCCTCACGGGCGACCTAAATGATGCGCAGCGACACTTTCTTGCCTTTGTTTTTTTTTTAAAGACAGTGTTAAAAAAGATGGTTTGTTTTCCTTCGGAGCTGAAATGTCTTAAACTTCTGAAAAGTAAAAACTTGCTTTGTGAACACAAGCATAAATGTGCACATACGGGAAGCGGGAGGGAACTGTGAGCCCTTCTCAGTATGCACAAGGTTCAGTGACTGCTATCTGGCACTGAAACGAAACGTTTGAAGCATAAGACGAGAACAGAACCCCCTCCCCCAAAAAAATAAGATTGGGATTGCTGGCTTGGTATGAAAGGACAGAAGTCTTCTGTTTTTGATTTTGCTTTGCTCTGATTTGATCCGGGAAACACGAACCAGAGCACGTCGTCACGGACCTTGTGTGTCGCTCTCGACACTGAAAAATGTTCCTTTGCTTTGTGTTGATACTGGCACCTGTGTAAGAACGTAGTAGTCTGGTGCGCCAATGGAGGAGACGTTATGGGGGAGGGACAGCTGGCAGGACGTTTGACTCTCAGATTGGAGCACCTGCTGGGATCAGGATCCAAAAGAACTTGGTGCAATCAGCCAAGACAAACTTTGCCTGTTTCGTATCCATTGTCTGCACTGGTTTTTTTCAATGTTCTCTGTGCTTTTTTTCATACAGTCAAAAAAAAAAGCTCAAAAACAAAACAAAAAAAGCAGGAAAACGGGGAAAAAAGCAGAAAACAAAAAATGCATTAAAAAAAAAAACTTCACACACACACACACACACACATCACAATACAGACAGAATGGTTTCTTTGCTCTTGGCTTTTTCCTGAGAAAAACTAAAGAAGAAAAAAAGTAGAACAATAATTACCAAGTTAATGAACAGCATTAACACGAAACACTGCATGGCAGCCTCTTTCAGACAGATACACGCACTCACACACACACATGCACAGCTTGCCTCTCAGCATTATTTGTTTTGCACCGAAATCTTCACAGCAGGGTTTTAGCAATTGTTGTTTTGTAGGATTGTGTTCCATCCAGACGTCAAGACGTTAAATCGAGAGCTTGTTGATACACTCGAGTAAATTATGCTAAACCAGGCCTAGGTCTAGCGCTGTGTTAACAATCAGCTTCTAAATCGCGGGGACGAAATATATATCATCGTTCCCAAGGATGTGAAGCCTGCCGTGGCTTCACAATCAGGGCATTTCCCTGCCGACCCTCCTCTCCTGCATTGATTTAATGGCTGCAAGGGTGGAAGGGAGATTGAAAGCCATTACAATTCAGCGGTAACATGTTCGGAGTCATCGCAGACTCTACTAAACGATCCCAGAGTATCCCTCTGTGGACCGCCAGAGCTTAACGATCGATTCCGAAACTCTCAGTGCAGAGTGAAGGGTTGGTGCCTTTCTCTTGGTTTGAGGCCTGCTGAAGGCAGCTCTTCTATCACACATACACACACTCACACACGCCGTCACCTCTGTTTGACCACAACTACATGTCAGACTTCAGTTGCCATTTTCAGTTGATGTCTTTTTATTTCCGTGTCAGTTTCTCAATTGAAATGCAAAGTCATGCCAAAATTCTGAAGAAACAGGAGGTGATTTGGTTCATCTCCACTAATGTACAATCAGTTGTGGTTCGTGGCACTTTTTTTCCGCAAGAAGCGGCCTGTGTATGTGACGACTGTATGTATGAGTTTCTGTAAAGCAAGCAGGATGTATTGCTACAGTGTCATAATAGCATTCTCTAATATCCCACAATTCCACAAATAGGGCAGTTATTGACAGTGTACAGCATTCTACATGTGTCACATCAACTTTAAAGCTTTGAAAGGGTTATATTTCCGTTTTACTCACAGATAGCAGTGATGAAAAGCTACATTTGTTTCACACTGTTCTGCTCTCCTGCTTTTCTCCCTGACAAAATGACGATTCCACTTACTCCTTCAGTCACCATATGGGATATAACAGCAGGAATGCAGGAACCTAAAAAAATGCTTCATATCATTTTCTTTGACACTGACGAACAATGAAGCCAATCTTCAAATCAACTCTGAAAATATACATATAAATATTGTCTTTTTTAAATACAGTGCAAAGCAACGTTAAATGCAAAATAAACAAATCTCCCTTTTGCCAACATGCTCCAGACGTTACCAATGAAATTTATGAATAGGCCGATCAGATTCATTAGCAGACAACATGCCGTACATATCCCCTCACATATCAAGTGCCATTTGAAACCCCCGATCTCTCATTCTTAGAATGACAGCAGCGGTCCACGCAATCGCACAGGCGTCAAATGCATACTTTGCCCAAAGATTTACACATTTGCAAATAAACTGCTGGATGTTGAAAGAGAGAAAGAAGAAATGGTTGTTTAATTTTATTCTCACAGTATCTCTTCTGCCCTACACCAGCTTCCTATGATTCGTTCTTGAACGTCTAGGTGACCATTGACTTGGTCTCGAGTATGTGAGCTTTGTAAAATTGAGGATGAGTATAACGTGAAGTTCAAACAGCGAATTAGTCGCATCGGTTCTAGCGCTTCTTATAGTCAGTGCAGGTCACGCATGTCTTTAGAAATCAACATCCAGGCGATCGGTTTTAAAGCGATCGTTCACGTAATTCCTAACACAATTCTGATTTAGCTGTACAGAAGACCACTTTTTGTACCGCGAGTTATCCGTACCACTTCAAAACGGAGATAATTCTGTGGCGGAGCGTTTTACATGACAGTAAGAATGTTTGAAAACATTCTAAGGGAACAATTTTAAGTGAACTAGATCTGGGCACTCCCTTCCCAAGCTGTTTGCTTTTTAGCTTCAAAGAGGCTTTTGGCAGCTTAAATTTTATACAAAAAGATGCTTGAAACATCACAAGGGGATTTTATGACAAAAGGTCAGAGGTGACAACTTTTTCATTTTTTATTGTCCGTATTGGAACAACATTTCACTGCATAACTAACACTCTTCATTGTTACTGCTAGCTTAGTCTGTTTAAATGACACCGTTGTCGATTGTCTACATAACATTTAGTGGCATTTCAAGATGCACTTATCACAAGAATATGGGAACAATTAATTTTTCAGCTTACTAGATAAGGCTTGTAGGTTCATGGCACAACATAAATTGTCTTTTTTGGTCAACAGTGCATCAATTCTGCATATACACTCAAATACTCATCCATATGGTACCCAGTCACTCGCAAACGGCGATGAGAACTGTAAAGGACTCATTTGCCTTGAGATATACTGCATCTTGAAGTGTGTCTGTATGCGTGTTTGTCCAAACTTGATCAGTCAGTACGTAAGGTTTTCACCAGGTCTTTCCCTTTGGCTTTCTGCGTTCCTCACCTCCCACCCCCATTTTTCCCACCCTGCACCTGCAGAACCACAGTCACTTCCTGAAAATGCTATCACTTCAGCTTCATCCTGCAGTTATGCATTACCAGCTGTCAGCGATCTCTTACCTGTGAATGTCCCTCGACATCATTAACCAGGGAGCAACCGGCCAACAACAGACCTCGATGCTTTCACAGGTGCTCTCTCTAATCCAAACATTGATCTCGCAGACAGCCGCCAGTTGATAGAGCAGGTACAAATCTGAAAAAAAAGAAAGAAAGCAAAAATAGAACAGTTATGTGCCATCTTGATTTATCTGTATGGAAGTAGGACGACATTTTGCCATATGTAGGCTGAAGCATGTAGTTTCTCACTAGAGCAGGGACCCTCATATTCACTGTCCTCTCTTTCCCTCGCCACATCACTAACACTCCACCCCCTCACTTCCTGTAATCTTCACACTCTTCCTCTCTGTTTTTTTCTATTCTGTTCTTTCCTTGTGTGTTTTTCTTTATTGGTTCTTTTGCTGTACAAAGTGTTTAAAATATTATTATTTGTATGATATAATGTTAGTATGGTAATGTTCTTTATTAAGGAAGAAGATGAAATTTATTTTTGTTACTGGTCTGTTTCATAATTCTTTTTTAAATTGGTATTGTAAGATATCTATGCAAGAACTGTTCAGTGGAGCATTTTTATTTAAGAATGTAATAAGTGTAATAAATGGTAGAATCTGAATGCCTCGGACTGACATTTTCTGTGACCAGAAAGAAGAAATATTACTTTGACAACAGGTGAGAGAAAGGTGTCTTGTCATAACCTTTTATAACCTTTGGTGGAGTGCTTTCAAATAGCCAAGGCTCATTACTAGACAGCTTTTGTCACAGAAATCACCACATCGTGACAATGGCTCTGTGTATGCTGGCTCAAAATGACTTTTTTTGTGTGGCCATGGTTCATTGAAATTGGAAAGCCGAACACAATCACCAACAAAAGCACTGTGAAGGTGAAAGACTATTATCTTGTTTGAAGATGGATATTATATTTGACTTGAAACAATCAGTGATTTCAGCATTGTTCACAGCAATAAAAATCATAAACGCAAATAATAATAAATAAATGAGTAAATAAATAAATCCCATAAACTCCAAGTATTACAGTTCATTAGCCTAATTATAGGCAATTTCTGGTTGCTCAGCTACATTAGTAATTACTCCGTGCATACAGTACATTTGAAGTTTATGTGAAGTTTAACTCTTGTAGGTCCAAGTAAATAACAAGTGCTTATAATTCTGCAATACACTCCTGCAAGTAAAGAAGCCCTGTTGTCCCCACCCTCCGATAAGGGTGGCCCACAAAGGTCCTCTATGGTACAGCTTACTCGCCAAATGCCCCAAAAAAAAAACCTTCTCTCTGCGGGCCATTTTGTGCATCACATCCATTAATTAGTCGTCACAGGGCTGCCAATGACTAAGCCACCATTTAGAAACTCGTACCCATGACTCAAGGATTAAAAGGGCTAATCGAATAACTAATGGTTAATTAGAGAGTAATTATGTGAAAGAAAAGGTACTTCTAGTGCACATTCTCACAGCCTTGTAAATGTCTTCCAGTGAGATTTCCTCCATCAGCTTCGCTCTATTATGGCTGATGCTGGTAATTGAAATTCACATTGTCATCGCCTCAAACCAAAGGCAAATGTGAGATTTATGCGTCATCCACCTCCTGATGCAAGCCTTACTCCTGACAGACACTCAAACACCAGGACGTTTCATCTCAACAGTGGCAACCTGATACACAGCACATCTGGTGTCAAATGTGTAGAGTAAATCCAATTAATTGCATTGTTAATTTGCAGGAATAGACGTGTCAGTGACTGCTGAATAATCTCACCTAGGCTAATCAGGAAAAAAGGAATTCTGCAAGCTGCAAATTTTCAGCTCGGTCTCTCGGGATCCGTGTCAGTAGCTTAATGTGCATATCCAGCCCCCTCTATTCACCAGCCCGCTCACCCCCTCTGCTCTTGGCACAGGGGTCGAAACGTCTGGGTGGCGGAGGAGACATTCATCCATGCCAAGTTTATTAATGTAATACGTCCCCGTGCCCTTGTGCGCCGAGACAATGGTACTAAAATTAGTGTGTTGATTAAATGGAAATTATGCCACTGTTGTGATTATTGCTTTAATAGGGCTAAACCCCTGTAACTGATGCTAACTAACAAAAGGTCACTTAATTAAGGAAGAGATAGCAGAAGATAATCAGGAATTTACAGGACTCTCGAGGTGGCTGGGGACAGGAAAACAATGTTTTGTTGCGCACAACATGTTCTCGTGAACCCCTAGATTGTGCGGTAGTAAACAATCTTGGATTTTCCCTTAAGACTGCATTCTGGGATGTAAGCAAACATAACAGAAGGCATGAGCACAAGGAATTTCCCATGATTCCACTCTCTACACTTACACAAACTGTATCAGATTATAATACCATCGTACTTTGATATACCATGGTACTGAATAATTAGTTTCCCCATGAAATTCACGAGACATAAAAAAGCAATGCAAAAAAAGCAAGGAGGCATTAAATTGATCAAAAGTGACAGTAAAGACATTTATGATGTTATAAAAATTATATTTCAAATAAATGCTGTTCTTTAGAACCTTCTATGCATCAAAGAATTCTGAAAAAGTATCACCGTATTCGGTTTCCGTAAAAATATTAAGCAGCACACAGATGCTGAAAAGTCAACTTTGCCATTAAAGGAATAAAAGGTACAAAATATAATAAAATACAAAACAGTTAGGCCTATTTTACACTGTAATGATAATTCATAATATTACTGTATTTTTGATCAAAGCCCTGGTGAGACTTAAAACAAAAATCTATCTATACACACGTATATGCATAAATAGTATTTATAGATGCATAAATGTGCATAAAAGCTGACATGAAGGCTGAACTGAAAGGATGTGAAATGGGAGTCGTTTCAAATTTATAAACACTAAAAAGGTCAAAATATGATTCCTTTCATTAATAGTCTTGAATTTTAGCTTTTTCACTCACCAGCAATTTCACAAAAAATTTACTGCCACCACAATGAAATATCAAACTTGATTGAAAATGTCAAAGGGCTCATAAAAAACTTCTTAAAAGCCAATGATTTTTTTTTTTTTAATTCATTGTATTAGGCTATAATTTAATGTCTGCTTTGCTGTCTGAAGAGGGATGATCACATTTTTTTAAACCTTTAATCTTAAGATGGCAATAAATATGCTTTTGTTTCATTAGCTCACATATAAAATATCTGCTGTTAGGGCACAATGAGCGCTTTCCCATAAAAGCCAGCAATTTATTCCTAACCATGGAGGAGGGGAATTATATTAACTGCCAGAGGAGATGGTATTTGGAGTGGGATATGGCGTAAATTGAAGGGTTTCATGGTTGTCCCAGGACAGGAAATGCTTGTATCCTGACAGGCTGGACGCAGGAAATGATGGCAAACATGGTAGTTTAACTAACATGTGCTTGGAACAATACCGACTCCGTGTAGATGGATACCACTTCATTCAGCTCAAGCTTGTTTACAGGTAGACACACTGCGAGTGTTTGAAAAATAGGTGCATTTGATGATAATTGGTTGAAACATTGTCAGTTTTATTTTAATATTTTGAATTAACTAAACACCTGCAAGAAACAGGAACGCAACATTCTTGGTGGCTCAGACAAAGAGAGCAAGAGAAATCCCTGTGAAATGACTTCCGCCTTCCAAGAATAGAGGGAAGGAAAACTATGATCTCACAAGGAGTCGTGCAAACACACAATAAACACTTCCAGACCGGATTGTCAAGCGCACACACACACCCAAACACTTTTCTAGTACCTTCTCCAATATCTGTTGTGATTGTTTCTGATATGACTGTGCTAGATCTGTCTGTCCTTTGCCACTGTTCTGCTGTAAATAGTATTCAGCACCCCTCTGTCAACCACGTGTCTACAACTCAGAGAGGGAAAAGAAAAAGAATTTAAATCTGAAAGTGGACTGTCTGAGGATTAAAACATAATTAGCGGTGCTTGCTAAGGCAAGAATTACTATTATTATTAGAATTAAACTTTGACTCATGTTAGTACTATATAAAAATGAATGAATACCACAAGCCATACAACCCAGGCCATGTCTAAGGACATGGGTTTGCTGCTACTCTGATTGGTGGAATTTTCTGTCCAGCTTCATGGGTAATGAAGTTTTTCAACAAGCTTCAACAAAAGCATAAACCATCTATTAACAACCTTGGAACTCACAGTAGGTCTGTCTTTAAAGTGCCCCTATTATGGGTAATGAAAGGTTCATATTTTGGTTTTGGGAGTCCCCAACAACAGGTTGACATGCATGCAAGGTCAAAAAACACTTTCATTGTCTTATAATATGCATTGATTTTTACATTACTTGCTCAAAGACTCCCCAAACGATTCGCTCAACATTCATTTATCCAAACCCCTCCTTTGCGTGACGCTAATCTGTGGTGATTGGTCTGATTGGTCTCATTTCCATTTCATCATGCCTGTAATGCCTGATAAAGCAGCGTTTGTGAGCACAGTGCTGCTTTGTTTACAGCCGTTACCGGGAAACATCTGTTTTTACCGCTCCAAAAGTGGCACCTAGTGGCAAAGAATGAATTTGCATTTTCATTCAGACCAATGCGAAAAGACCAACAAGTGGGCGGGCAATATGCTAATGATTCATGTTGACGTCAACATGAAACGGCTTGGGATTCGTTTTAATGATTCAGAGTCAACTCTTTCTTTTGAGAGACAATAAGTTTATACACGGTGCACTTTCAGATTTAAAACTTTGCAGGATGTTTTCATTTTATTCGAGCTGTGTTGCACACAGCATGAAAGGTAATTTTCAAAAATCCATAACAAGGGCACTTTAAATGTTTTTAAGTTATTGTTAAAAATCAATTTCCCTACGGAGACAATGAATGGAGTTTTTACTTCCAGAACCCACTGTTGCACTCTATACACTTTGAACAACCAATCACAACACTGTAGCAATGCCCCCGGCAACTAGGGCTGGGAATTCATACAGATTTCATGGTTTGATTCAGATTCACTTGATTCAATTCTAATTCATTTCAGTTACAATGTACAGTTTGCAGTTATAATGTCCATTTTGCTGGTGCATACATACATTTCCTCTGCTAATGCTGCAAATTATATATTTAAATCATGTTTTTGATTCATTAAAATAACTACCTCATAAGAGCCATTTGTTTGTGAATTGAACTACCCTGGTTGCTTTGTGCTTGTTTTTGATTGCAGCCTTTAATGGAAACCTCAATAGAAAGATTATTTTACGGCACATGTGCTTTTTATCACAACACATTCTACGAATTCACGTTCACATCATACACAATTCAGCAGAACGCAGTGACACCTGCAGGACAGGATGTGCTGTATAAACACATTTATTTATTTATTTATTTATTTATTGGCATTTTAATGATAGATATCAGGAATGTTCAAATGATGATTGTGAATTTTTCGAAATCTATATTTTTTAAGTAGTCCTACTGACAGCTAAACATCTAAATACTAATGCTTTTTTTTATGTAAAAATGTAGTTCAACTTTTGTAAATGTATAGAATTTGTGATGTGTAGAATTTTACTTGGAACAAAATATTCAAATCTGTTGTGAATAACAGCATGCGA